CCTTCGCGCTGGGCACCTGGAAGCCTCGGTGCCAAAAGGGGTTGCGCCCGCGGGCGCCGCCAGGGCGGAGGATGCGGGCACAAGGAGGCGGGGAGAGCTGAGCCGGCGCAAGAATCCCCAGTCTGTGTGGGCCACCATCGACGACAGGGTGGCCACGGGGGCGCAGGGTGAGGCCGACCCCCTCCGGGTTAGAAGTCGGGTGCCTAACTCTGTCCTCAGTCCCTTTCCAAAAGGGAAGGTTGACTTGGCATTCCTCTTACAGAGAATGAACTTTTCTTCTTTTTTAATGGAAAAGAAAGAAACTTAACTTGCTAACTGCGATCTAAAGGGTGAAACCTCTGGAACGGCAAAATTCCTATTTTCCAGTCACAAAAGGGCATCTTCGGGGACGCGGAAGGAATTTGAAGGATTCGACGGCTTTTCCTAGAGCGTCCTAGTACGCTGTTGTCAACACCAAGAGCGCTGTGGGTTCCACCGTCGTCGCCCACCTCCCAAGTCAGGGCTCCGTGACGGGGGGGGGGGGCCCTTCAGATTTCAGCTCTTTTGGTGTCGTCTGGGAATCTACTCTGTAAAACAATGTTCCGGTGAATTTGCCCTGAGTTGATTTCTTCTAACTTGCCCCGTCCTGTCTCTTCAACATCAGTTCTGTTCAGTGGCGGAAGGAAGGTTTACTCTCCTCCTAGGCAGAGCGGTAAAGATGAGTGTTGTTGGATCTGGGACACTCATAGCGCTGTACAGTTTACAATCTCTAGCATGTTCAGGTACCAGTCAACAAATAGGTATGCCCTCCACTCTTATAAACCCCGAATGAGGCTATAATTGGCCCTTTAAAATACTTCCACTTAAGACAGTTACTAACAATTGGACAAATCATGATAAAATGGGCATATTGTTGCCTCCAGCTAGTGAACTAGAACGTAGATTTTGAAAGAATTTACTTTCTTTTTTTCTTTTGAGACAGGAGACAAGATCTCACCACATATTCTAAGCTGGCCTTGCACTTGCTATTTAGCCCAGGCTGGCGTCGAATTTACAACCCTTACTTGGCTTTCTGAGTGTTGGAATTACAAGTGAGGCTACTGTGCCCAGCCAAAACCAAACTTTTGCATAATAAGAATTGGAATCTGAACTCACATCTGATTTGCTACGAGTGTCATCTTTCAGTTCGTATCATTTTTGAAGGGAAATGAAAGGATATCTCCTCATTCCTTCCTATCAAGTCTACTATTAGTGATTAACTCCTCTAAGTAATTAAGCTTTGCTTTTTCAGCATTTATTTTTAAAACTTAGTACATGCTTGCAGTGGATAATTATTACATTTATCATGGAGAGTTGGAGCATAACAAATTTTAATTTTTTTGTACCTTCCTGCTAAGCTTTGCTTTTAAAATAGATATTCTGGGGTGTTAAATGTAGCAAGGCCTGGAAACTATTTGTATGTAAGTGTGAATGAATTTACAGTTCTAACAGTTAGCTAGTAACCTAAGGGGTGAAACTTGACCTGTGTGAAATGGAGGGAACATTTTTTTAGAGCTTGGTGCTGAGAATGGAGAGGAAGAGGCACCTGCAGGGGCCACCAATTTCCCCCTTGGCCAACTATGAGGCATTGTCCATAAATCAATAAAAACCTATACACTGAAGAAAGACCTTGTAAACTAAAGCCACATCCATTAGGAGGATTTTTTTGCTTGTTTTTTTTTTTCATTAAAAATTTTTATTAAGGTAAATCAGTGTAAAATTTACCATTTTAGCTGTTTTAAGTGTAGTTGGCCTTAAGTAGTTCTACACTGTTGTATACCTATCACCACCATCTCCAGAACCTTTTCATCTTCCCAAAATGAAACCACATACTCACCAAACAGTAACACTTGAGCTGGAAGTGAGTTCAGTATTAGAGCACCCATGCCAGGCCTTGAGTCATATCCCAGCACCAAAAAACAAAATCCCAAAACAAAACACCCAGAAACAAAAACAACCTTTAAAAAATAATTCTCTATTCCCTCCTCTTCCCAACCCCAGGCAACTACCAATCCACTTCTGATCTCCATGAATTTGACTATTCTAGTTATGTCATACAATTAGAATCACACAATATATGGTTTTTTGGTGCCAGTATTCATATGCGAGTGAAGATGACTAGTGCCACGCCATGGACAGCTCAGCATAAAGCAGGCCCCGTGTTTTCCTGCTCTGTTGAGTGAAACTTTCCATGAGACTGTAGACAGGTTCAGGGAGAATGTTTGGTAAGCAAGAAAGAAAGCATTGAATGACCAAATAGCCTGGTTATATATACCTCTTATTTATACCTAGTGCCCAGCATTTCATTCAATTTCATATTGTAACCAGATTTTTTCATAATTTTAAAGACATGTTGACAGTAGAATTAACATAAGCCAGAATGGTAGTAATCAATTTTGTACTTCTAGTTTCTGCATGTGCTCAACTGGTGTGTGAGATGCACATGTAATTCTCACTTGAAAACATAGTTAAACATGAATAATAACCAGAGGTCCATCTCATCTTTCTTGATTTTCTTTTTCCTGGTTCAATGTAATTAACTTCTTTTTCAGGAACTGTGTGCAGAATAATAATGACACAAATCAAGTGCCCTCAGATACAAGCATCTAGGGACAGCTCACTCCTTGTGGTCTCCACAATGGTAGAAGAATTTTTAAAATCCTTGCCAGCCACTCAGTTTATTAGGCAGTTATTTCAGTGACCTGTGAGATGCACAAGGCCAATGGGACTTATGAGACATCTAGGTTATCTTTATGTGTAGGAGATAGACACTGAGAAGTCCTGTCCTAGAGACATTAGTAGGTGGTTTGGATGTTCTTGCTACATGGAATGATGGTTTATTATATGTTACAAATCTCCAATGGTTTCATTATTCTATTGTCTATTACACTTTTATTTTGCAATAAATTCTTTTGGTATAAAAAGCTCAAGAATTGAAATACCTGTACATATTGTAAGTATTCTACTTTCATTTCTCAAGACAGTAAATAAGCATATGTATTGCCCCAAATATTTTTTGACATTTGCCTACCACCATGGAAGTGAGGAACAACATGAATGTTAGAATATATGAATCTGGGACAGGGGATTTAACTCAGTGGCTCCACTGCCTGCCTTGCAAGCGCAAGGACCAGAGTTCAATCCCTGGTACCAAAAAAAAAAAAAAAAGATTACATGAATCTACTGAAGAAGCAATAGCAACCATCATTTCAAAATTAGACACTTATTTTAAGAACAGTACTTGAAGACAACAGTATAAAATGTGCAGTGCAGAAAGTCTATTTACATATTTACTTTTCAATTAGATCAAATGGCTGCTCTTCTAAATCAATTTCATTCTTATATATTCCGCCTCCCTCCGTTCTTTCCTTTTTTTGGCAGTGCTTAGTGTATGCTACATAATGTGCTACCACTAAGTTACACTCCCAGTCTTCATTCCTATTTTTCTTGTATTTCTATGACATTTAAATAATGCTTGTTTTGCACAATGTCATCAATGATTAGACAATCAGTTTCAATAATGACTTATTTTTAAAATAAGTCATTATTTTATTAAGTCATTGTGTTATTAAATCATTATTTTATGGTGGCGCATGCCTGTAATTCCAACACTCAGGAGGCTGAGGCAGGAAGATTGCTGTGAGTTCGAGACCAGCCTGGGCTACATAGTGAGTTCTAGGTCAGACTCAACTACATAGTGAGACCCTGTCTCAAAAAACAAAACAAAACAAAAAAGCCAAAAAATAAAAAATAATGTCTTATTTTTGTTCACTAAAACTATGAAATCAAGATAAATCTTATGGATCCTCACTCTGATAAGTAAGAAACATCTGACATTTAAAGACTGCTTAATCTGCTTTTTTTCTCCTGATTATACAAATACAAATTTTTGTGGTACCATAAAAATAATAGTCACACTAAATTAAGAAATATCTGGATATTTGTTGAGTTGCTGAATAAATTGTGGTGCACTTACATTCATAATTTCACACAAATGGTTACATTCTATAGTGTGAGGGTATTTTCTTATATTACCTGTGGTACTGCAGTATTTCCTCCTCCCTTTTTGAGTTTGTGTGTGTTGAGGGTGTCCTACTTTTAATGTTTGATCTCCCAGAATAGTTTTCTAATTTTTTAATTTTTTTCCTATTTTGTACCTTTTGTCTTTCTGGTGTTCTTTTGAGATTTTCTCAACTTTATCTTCTAAATCATCTGTTGAGTTTTTACTTTCTGATATCATGTTCTAGTTTCTGAGAAATCATTTTCTTTTTTTTTTTTTAGACTTGCTGTGACTATATGTGTAGTTCAGGCTGGCTTTGAACTCAGTATGTAGTCCAGGTTGGCCTTAGACTTGCAGCAATCTCCCTGCCTCAGCCTCTTAAACTCTGGAATTACAGGGGTGTACCAACCACACCTGGTTAATTTCCAAGAAATCTTATTTTGTACTCTGAATAGTCCTCCCTCTTTTGGGAAACAGCAACTTGTTCTATAGGGTTTTTGTTTTGTTTTGTTTTTGCAGAGGGGTGTTGATTTTGAGTTGACATCTTGGTATGGTACCCAGACTGATCTCAAACTCCTGGGCTCAAGTAATTCTCCTGCAGCTGGCACTACAGGCAAGCACTACCATGCCAGGCTCTGTTCTGTATTTGTAAATATAGCATCTTCTCTTATCTCCATAAAAAGAGTAAGGTTATTGTTTTTGAAGTTTTTTTGGTTGTTGTCCCTTCATGATCTCTTTTAAGTTACTTTTATTTTCCATTTCATTTATTTATTTATTTGAAGTTCTGGGGATTGAACTCAGGACTTTCACACTAAGCTACAACTCAACCCTTTAAAAAGTTTTTAAACAATATTTTATTATTATTTATTTATTGTGACATTGGGGATTGAACCCAGGGCCTTTGTGCTAAGCTACATCCCTAGCCTTTTTTGTTTTGAAACAGGCTCTTGCTAAGTCACTAAATTCTCCTGTCAGTATTCCTGCTGGGAATAGAAATGTGAGCCACTGCACCTAGCCTCCCTGTTTCCCTAGTGAGGTCTTTAGCTATCATATTACGGGTTTTCCTCCCATACCTGGTGATCCTTCATTTTTACTCATTAACGGATGAAGGGATGTGTGC